AGAAGAAGTAGGCCATAACTAATTTTATTGGTCTTTTGATCGTCCACAGAATCTTTGTAAAGTGCTTATTAAGCAATTTTCAAGATTGATGATGACAAACGAGTTGAATCAATGGATTGACACATGATTCTTGTGAACGGCAGATAAATAAATGGAAAGCAAAGCAACTGGATAATTGGAAATAAACGATAGCGAATCAAGCTTGTTTTGTAGCAGCCATGAAACCATTATTTCTGTACACTGAAAAATGCATGGCGGTCAGATTGATGACCTAGGTCATATTAGAATCGACTGCCTACATCGATCGTCAGTAGACTTCAAAGTAATGTTTTCATTTGGCATACTGTTATGATATTTTTGTACCAGGAAATCCGGTATGAAAGCCAAAGACAAGGACTTATGATATATGGTAGAAAAATGCAAAAGCGAACCGATGACGGAAGGCTGACAATACTCGCTATGAATCAAGCAAATCTATGAGAAAAACAAGATCAGTCAGGAAACGATTATCCGTAATACAGATATGGACCATTTTGAGTAGTTATCGAGAATACCGTATGGAATATGCAGCAATTTGTTGACGCGCCAGTATCCGTGCTGAAAGATGCATTAAAATTATTTATTAAATCACGATGCAATTCAATTGCACTGTCAGCCTATCGACCGATACCGATGGTTCGGTTTGCATTGCACGTGTTTTTTTTCAGCGTAAGGGAAAAATAATTTTTCTGTCATCTGTAGCAGGTGGGTCGTTTGAAGCTGAGAGGCGAGCGACCTTCGACCCCTGCTGCCGGATGAGTAGCGTGACGGCGATAGACGCAACGGACTTCACTAATCAGGGATGACGTTTTTGTACGTATACATAAGCACAGAAATGTAATTTTATTGTTCAGAGATAAATGGGCAGAAAGCGTGAAAAAGAGTGAAAAGTTATCATAATGATGCTTTCTTGCGAAGGCATTGAAGGAGAACCCACTTTTGAAACACAGTTCATTTACAGTAGCCAGTAAGGTCCTTGGAGATACATTAATATGCGCTAAAATACCAAGGAATCATCACCTTGTTACATGCTCATTCCGCCGTCAGCTGAGCAGCTGAGAGTACAGAGGCTATTCAATTGCTCATTACATTCGGTGATTGGAAGGGTTGATGACTTGTCATTAGGTTTTCATCCGTTGCCAATTACCATGTTCGTGCTTATGATCAAAGTATTTTTCTTCTAGATGGACTAACACATGGTCATATGTCATCCTGTAATTATCGCTCATTGTTTGTTGTTGCCATAACACCCCTTGACAATATTGGCGGTTATGGAGAATGCATTGCGTGGTCTGTATGAAACATACCTTCTAATTATGTTTTGTGGACTGAGCAGCAACCGAAGTGCACAATGACCACGTGATTAATCCTCATTTACCGCTAAGGCAGCTTTGAGGGGTGTCACGGCCACAACTAG